GCCACTCGAAGCATCCGCGTCGATGATAAAGTCGTTAAAGCCCAGATTAGGGACACAGCTGGCCAAGAACGGTACATATTCCATTCGTCAAATGGATATTTATCTATATATGTATATGTATGTATACCGGTTAATTGATATCTATGTTTATTTAGGTTTTTTAAGTAAAATTGTTGGTATAGTACAGAAGTTTGAGATCTGGGCTAGTGGTGTTTGAGTTTATTATGGTTAATTATGTGAACTGATTTCTGGTTTTAGTGAATTTTTTGGTGAAATGAAATGTGTGTTCCTATATTAAGAAGTGCTGCAGGAATTTTGATCTGGGGATTTGGAATTAATTTCTTTTTTTACTGTTCTTTGTTATTCATGTGAATTCTAAAGGGTTTAGATCTTATACTTTAAAGTTTAATCTCGTGGCTTTGCGTAATGACAGAACATGAATAATTTTACACGAAGGGTTTAGTTTTTAGTTGATCTATAAACAATTAAGATCAACCTTTTTTGTGTAGTAGGGTTTTAGCAATGCTTAAGAATTCTTATTGAACAACTAAGCACAAGTGTTAACCTGTCTCCATTAGTCTTCTGGAGGTTATGTCCTTGCGCTCTTTAAGCATCATGTTACCGTTATGATTCATTTTCCTGGAAGCGGCTTCATAGATTGCAAAGGACACCAGATACCTGGGTCAAGTTTGCTAACTAACCGAACTGGTAATATGTTACCTAGAGAAATTTTGGCATCGCGAGTTTGATTTTCAAGAATCCACTTGCATGACATGTAAACTGCCAACCTCAGTAATTAGTGATATACATTCCATCGTTGTTTGTCACTTGAATAATTTAAATTTTCTTAAATATCTTAGTTCTTTAACTCGATTTAGAACATATCCTTTAGTTCAATATTTGTGCTCAACTTGCAACTTTTGGATTTCCGGGTGTGTGAATACTTGCCTTAATGTATGTTTTTTGCTGAAGATATCGTGCAATCACAAGTGCCTACTATCGAGGAGCTGTTGGTGCGTTGCTTGTTTATGATGTCACACGTCATGTTACATTTGAAAATGTGGAGAGGTGGTTGAAGGAACTCAGGGATCATACTGATTCAAACATCGTCATCATGCTTGTTGGAAATAAGGCAGACTTGCGTCACTTACGGGCTGTTTCCACAGAAGATGCAAAGGCATTTGCCGAAAGAGAAAGCACATATTTCATGGAAACCTCTGCTCTGGAATCTATGAATGTGGAAAATGCCTTCACAGAAGTTCTTAGTCAGATATATCATGTCGTCAGCAGGAAAGCTCTTGAGGTCGGTGATGATCCAGCAGCTTTGCCTAAGGGACAGACCATTAATGTTGGCTCTAAGGATGATGTTTCTGAGATGAAGA